GAAGTCGGGCGCGTGTGTTACAGACGCGTGATGACTTTTCTCCCCAAACTTTGTCGAGCTTTCTCTTCTGCCGATCTGCTGTTCGCCTCTTCGGTGTCCGATTTTGACCGGCGCCGTGAGAGGCAATCATCCCGTCACTTTTCTGTTGTTCTCTAGTGCTTGATTTTCCTGAATCTACTAGATTTATCATGATTCTCGCGATGAGGGGATTGGAGCATCGCCGTGTGTGACGGCTGCGTTATCGGTGTTAGGGTTTTCTTCGGCCGTGTTTCCTTGCTAGGTGATGGCGAGTGTTGGGTGTAATAAATTCATCACTTGGTCACTATCAGAACATAGTTGATGAGATGGAGGTTAAGCATGTTAGCGACATGCTCAGCCAGTCGCTGCTAATTCTTCGCTTCAAGGAGCTTTTGCCAGTCCCTAACAATGGACACAAAGCGACAGGTCGTGGCCCTGACCATGTCGCTGCAATCGACAGAACTAGTAAGCACTGCCAAACAGTCTTAACCAGCAACGAAATTTGTTTTGTGTGTTAACCACCGACCGACGGTCTCAACACCAATTTATTAACAATCAATGGTTTAGCACGTCAACCATTTAGCATATTTCTAAAGGAAATGTGACTAGCGACCGACATGACGTCCATAAACCGACTTAACATATTTCTAAAAAAAAATATGACTAAGGACCGACATGGCATCCTACTCTGGACCGACGACAAATAGGCCTAGCCCAACGAGGACTAGGGTTTATAAAACCTAATATAAGAGAGTCTCGACACAAGGACGGGATCATCACAAGACACACGCAAAAATCCAAGAATACTAGACTCTTGCTGCTTCTCAACGATGATCGACAAGAACGACGAGTGACGAACGATCGACATGATCACCACCCTTGCGATTTCTTTATTGATTCTTTGTAATTCTTATCGAAACTCATTAATCAATAAAGTTAACGAATTTCCGTCATTCTGTAGTATTGTTTTCTACTCGATCCGGTTAAATTTTGCACAAACAGTTTGGCGCTAGAGGGAGGAGACAATTTCAACTATGTGAGATATGACAGGCGACGAAAATCGCGAGGTTCCGACAGGAGGTAACAAT